ATTTTTAATGAATCCTAATATTGAAAACACACAACAAAATCACAATTTCTAACATAAATCACAAATTTGAGTAAAAATTACATAAATTCTAAAAACTCAAAAGCAACTTACAATTAATGAATTTTCTTGATTGAATGTTGTTGAACTCTTGAGTTAACTGATGCTTGACGATTCCTGACGAGCTTTTTACGAAGTAGTTTGATTTTGTAACAATGGGGTTTGAGAGGAATAGGTTTGTGTGTTTTTTTTCTTTTTTAAAATAAGTTTTTGCTGCAAATGGAGGGGAAAAGGCGGCGCACCTTTAAGTCTCAACATGAACCGAAAATATATATCAGGTTGCAATCAGAAATATATTATGGTTAACACCTAAGTTTTTTATCCAATTTATGACTAGCAAGATGCGTACCAGAAATATATTTTTGATTTTAAGAGACATTTTTGAAATTTCGCGTGGTGCGCTAGAAAACTATAGGGTGGAAAAAGAAATCCTCTTACATTATCATATGGGACCATGGAAGGATGCATAAACATGTTATCCGATATGGAATTTCATTTTGGTCCATTTAGCTTTGAGTTTAGGGGATTTCTTATTCCATCTCATGCCCTAAAATAAGACCCTTTGCAATTCCGAAAATTCCCCTCGAAAACTGGAAATGTAGTTCTGGTTTGTATCATATGTTTTACAAAAGCATGCCAAATGTGGTTTCACCCTTCAAAATGTAAAAATATAATTGGAGGTATACTTCCGATTTTGTACCGGTATTATGTTTCTAATTTTTAGAGCGGGAAGATTGATTTTTTATGCCACCTTGAATACATGAAGTTTTTTTGAATGAGTTGTTGTTTTTGTCCTGTTTCTAATTTTTCACTCCCAATTTATGTAAAACCGGAAGTGAGATTCTGATTTTAACTTTGACACAGGGATAGGATTTGTATGGTTCATGTTTGCCTCCAACTACTAAAAATAACCTCACTTGTCATATTGTTTCATAACACAACACCAATCACCAGGTACACCCCAATTGAAGATGTCTGTGAAATATTGCAGGAACTTGTATCTTATGGTGACAATCGCAAAGTTGTGAAGATCGAGTACCGCTCGTCATCTGTTGACAATGGGAAGCTTATGTTCATCAACCATGAGCTGAAGAACGGTGATGATCTACGGGCTATGTGGAATACTTTTACCAGTTTTGAGGAGAAAGTTATGATCGAATTAGATGCGACCAATTCAAGATCGGTCGATGATATTATCATGATGTTGCAACGTCCATGTGGACGTTGATTTTTATTGTTTTATTAATGTTAAAATCCTTAATGTATTTCCTATGTTTATGTTATGAATTATATTTTGAGTTTGTAGTATTGGTGTTATTCAATTATGTTTTTTGGTTTTTGTGTAGAACAAAACCAGAAATACATCTCTAGATCAAAATTGGAAATTAAATTCTGGTTCCAATGTATAGCTTATCAAATTTTGGTGTGCACCAGAAATATACTTCCGATTTTAAGGGGAGTCATACCCCAAATTTTCCCTACCCTTATATTATATATGGGGTTCTATTTGAATAAATCATATTCTATGGTTTTTATTTCTATGGGGGAGTAAAGTATGGAAGAGGGATATGTTGATCCAAAATGGACCATCAATATGTGATGGTCCATTGGATTTAAAAAAAAGGTCCCTTTCAAGTTTAAAAGGGGGGTGCATTGTTACGTAGGGGTTTGTGTTTTAATTAAGAGTTGATGGACCTTCTAAAATCAGAAAGATCATTTTTGGTCTCTTGGCCCACGTGAAAGTTCTGGTTCATTTTAGAAGTTCTAATAGAATAAGAGGTTTGCTGTCTACTTCGGGGTGGGTGTAGTGATTAATCAGACGGGCCCACTAAAATTATTAAGGTCTTATTTTTTAAAATAAGTTAAGGGGTGTATGTTTTAAACCAGAGTGGCCCATAAAGTATTTCGGCTCAGTAAGTTAAACAAATAGGTTCGTCCAATTTTGAAGAAGAAAAAAATCATTTTTGTTGTTAAAATTATTGTTTTACTATTTAAAAAATGACTAAAAAAGTTTTTTTATGTGGCCCAAACTCACTCCGGATCAAAAATGTTTTGTTGTGAAAACCAAAACGGATAGGCCCAGTTCAGTGAGAGAAGATGCTTGTTTCCACAAACAAACATCTATTGTACTAATCATGAGAGAATAACGCATAGAAACAGATATTGTTTAAATCATTGAAACAAAATCGAGCAATATCTATATATTCATTGTCCATAATAGAGCGAATTAATATAGCCCGAAACTGATACAGAAACAAATTTCAACTAATACAGGAACAAATTGATCAAATCATATACAAATTTGCAACAAATTACAAACGAAATCAGGCTAAATCCCTAATTTCTTAAATCAACCTAAGGAAATAAACAACAACTATAATTTTGTTTCCTAAATCACCTAAACAAAAATGCTATAAAAAAACCTAAAGCTAATACAGACTAGGGGGAGATTTACGAAGAGAAAAAAAGCGAAATTGACAGAAGAAAAGAGGATTGTTACAGAGAGAGAGGGGATTGACAAAGGAAGAAAAAGAAAGAAAAAATTATAGAACAGAGGGAGTTTGTTTCTGTCGCCCTCATCAAATCCATCAGCCTAGGGTTTTAACATATGAAACCCTGGCGCCGCCGCTATATCACTACCACCACCGTTGTACCTGAAACACAAAGAGGAAGGGTTAGCGATTGACTGAATCGAAGGAAGACAAACAGATTTATAAAGGGGGTAATGAAAACCTAGCTTTTACTTTTCTTGTTTTTTTGTGGATAACTGTTGTTATTTGGGACTTTGGGGGTTGATACGGGTTGTATTATTTTATTATGGTATCGGAGAGGGAGAGACAGAGGTAGCGTCGCCGTGATTTGGGGCCAGAAGGGTTAGGTTTTTGTGTTGTGCATATATATATATATATATATATATATATATATATATATATATATATATATATATATATATATATATATATATATATATATATATATATATATATATATATATATATATATATATATATATATATATATATATAGAGAGAGAGAGAGAGAGAGAAAATAAGGGAATGTTTTGTAAAACGAACATATATTAGGTTTAATAAATATAGTGCTTGTCACCCTACAATCGTTATTGTACTCCTTCAATCTCAACCACATGATCCCCATCATATGTCCCATAGAGTGCATGCTCATTATATGACTGTGTGACCACGCACACAGAGTCCAAGCGGACTCTCAAAATCCTTGGGTCAAGCCCAGCTGCCATGCGCACCTCCCTCTGCTTATGTTTTGCTAACACACATGAGTACATACCCCCACGTACTATTGGGCCAAGTCCAAAAATCTGGACTTAGGCCCCTACTGCTCAAATCCCCCTCATTTTACTAGACAGTTCAAACCTACACCCCCCTTGCTTTTTTGGGCCTGAATTCAATATATGAATTTAGGCTCATGCTGTTAACACCTCCCCTATTTTACTACCCTATATAATTTACACCCCTGCATTTTTAATTTATTTTCTTTATTATTTTTTTTTAAATATATTTCCTACTTTAATATATTTAATATATTTAATATATTTAATATATTTAATATATTTAATGTTATTTAGTAGTATATTTATAAATTAAATAATATATTTTCAAACTCATCAAAAATATATTTTATTTCTATTAAATTATTTTTTTAATCATGCATTTAAGTAAGATTTTTTTACAATTAATACCTTAAAAAATGTCCAACCAAACACCAAATTATTTTTGGTAAATAAATTAATTTAACAATTAATTTTCGAAAATGAATATGAAGCATATTTTAATTAACTGTGCACTTAGTCCAAAATCTTTGTTATTCACACATCCAAACTAAGTACAAGGGGATTAAAATATCTATGTAATCCATAAAAAACACAAACCAACCGCAAATTACGAATTGGGACTCTGATTCCTCCTAAGAGGATACGTAGACATACGATTAAAATCGTGGCGAGTTCCCCTAAAAGATATTAAAACCCTATTACCTAAAAATTGTGTTTCTAAACCTAGTATCCTTGTGAACAAGGTAGATGAGGGGTGCCTAACACTTTCCCTTCGTCTAGAACCGAGTCAACAATCTAGAATCTCTGAATTTTTTAGGATTATTCATTTATATTATCTTCCTTAAGATAAAAATTAAGGATGGCAATTCTATATTTAAAAATCAGTTGCAACAAAGAATATTTAAGGAATTTCTCACGGTGCATAAGAAAAGAATTAGGTAGAATAAGAAATCCCTTGAATTTATATTCACTTGGGTGTTGGTGGAGATAATAAATTTTCTTTTAGTGCAACATTATTTGTTTGTCTTGATTGCAAATCTTCTTCATTTTGTTTTTCCTGCATATTTTATGACACCATGATCAATAATGTGGTCTTTTATCTATCTAAACTAAAAACAAGGAACCCAACAATCACAAACATGGTATATGCTTTGGCCTAACAGACAACATTTAGTATTATATAACTTGATTATTTTTTAGCCACACAACTAAACTACCAATAACATGTACTCGAAATGAGTTAAGAGTAAAATAATTAAATTTTATTAAAATAGTTGATCATTGAAGAAGATTAAAAAGTATTGGAAGCAGAGCCATTTGTCAGGCTTCAATTCTCAAACACATTAATTTGGCAATTTTACATCTGTATGTATTAGTAGAACAGAGAATGCATTTTAGCTCATACAATTACAAAGTGTCTTGTACATTAGATAACTAACTATGAGTTACAGAACACATGAATTTCATTCACTCCAACATAAATGCAATACCAATAGCCTACGACTTGCACAAGCAAGTGCAAGATGAACTACTGAGTTTTTCTACAAAATCTGCAATCTAAATCAAACAATACAACATATATGTTTAATAAAATTCAAAAGCGGTGACCAATAAATATATCATATCAACTGTGTATTTAACTATCCTGGTCGAATTCTTCAGAATCTTCAGATGTCACATTCGACTCTTCTTCCTCTAGATCTTCAATTTCATCAATGTCAAGTGTTCTACAGGTAGACGACATCTTGTTCATGGCTGCAGTTTTGCTTGCTCTCTGTGAGCGACCTTTTACAGTATTAATGGTTGTAGGAACCACAGAAGCAATTGAAACTTCGTCGTCAGAATCAGAACTATCTTTCTCAATCCTTACCCTTCTCCTTGTACGTGTGGCTCTCGTTGGCTGTACAGCTGGTGTTTGTGGGATTGCAACAGAAGCATCCAAATCCATGTTGAATTCAAGTTCTAGTTTCCCTTCAAAAATAGGGAGAGGGAGAAAAATGTTAGCAGTAAAAAAAGGTTTTCAAAAAGGATATCTAAGGCCAGTAAAACTGCATAATACAGCCCAAATTAGATTGCAAATGAAATGAAAGATATAAATAATTGATAAAGATTAAGATTTAAACTGCTTGCTAACACTGCACTAATTATAGCTGTGTCAAATCTTAAAAAGTGATCTTTCTTGTTACTTGTTACCAATTAAATTTAAATTTAGTCGGTTTCTTTTGCTTGCCGGACAACCTTCTTGTCCCCATATCATCATAATTATAAGACTACAACTAAACTCAGTACAAAGCCCGATCACCATATAAGGCTTTGATAAGAGACAAAAGAATAGAACCATGGTCTGAGTGTGTTATACTTTCAGGCATTCTCAGAAGAAAATAAAATAGCATTACCAAAAATGAGATTAACTTCATCTTGCAACAACTCCTGATCTGGTTGCCTGTCAACCGTCATCAAATGCTCAGCCATGCGCTTTAATTCTTTAACAAGATCCTTCTCCGAAGATACACATTCAGCCAGACGATTTAAAAGCTTCCTCATAACTTTAATGGGCCCTTGTTCTGATAACCGAAAATGAAGGGAGACAAGTATTCTACATAATGCCGATACATATGCCTTCTCAGCAGCTGTCTTCTTTGAGTGAAAGCTTGCGACCTTAACAAAGTAGAGAGTAAGAAGACTAGCAACTAATAAACATTATTTAAATTTTAAATTGAACAACATTTTCATTCAGCCATGGACATGAAATTCATATATGCCATTTCATTTTCTTCCCTAAGTAACAGTTAACATATAAATTCCTAAGTATAATGTGTCCATGTGACATCCACCAGCTTTAATTCAAGCAATATAGTGGCGGTTGCATGCCCACTTCGCACTATTTTCAATATTCTATATATAACATGCATAAGCCAGTTTCTTGCAGTATACGAAAGAGCTTCATTAGAAGCTGCACATTAAAACTAGTTTCAAACAGGTGGATGAATTTCCAAGAATCTACAACCAAAAGATTTAGTTTTAACTTGAAGAAAATGTGTCTTACATGTGGTATCTATATCAAAATTAAAGTCATAAGTAACTGTATTCAGTGGGAAATAATTCAGTCCAAAATCCTAGTTTTCAAATCAATTCAACTTTTTATGCAATGCAGATAGGACTACAAACATAGCTAACATAAATTTTTTTCAGTTTTTCTGTGTTAAATATCTTCAGAAAATGGTTGTACTACAGTGTGCCATTTTTAATTGAGTGCACCGTGGAACATAAATGACCCCATTAAAATCGGCTTTCCCTATTTAATTCAGTAAGATACTGGTACTGCAATAATAAAAGAGCTTCTTAAAATAAGTTTTTATTTTAAAAAAAAAAAAAGAGCTGCTTTTGTGCACTTTGAGTTGCAAATAGATAAAATTAAGTCTTTCTGCAGCCATAATATGCAGATATCATATCGAGATACATCTCAACATTGACAAAAAAGAAATAATAAGTAAATAACATTAAACCTTTAGGAGCAAATAAAAAAGATTTATGTACGCCTTAGTATATCAAGTTAGGTGAATAGAAGGTCAAGTTCTATTTGTGGATGATTTACCTCTATGGCTATGTGTAGTGCAAGTCCCTCCTCACCACACTCAAATGGTACTTCAGCATAATTATCTATAACTTGCGGGACTTCTGGACTAGAGTTTTCACACACTGCTTCAGTCTCTCTAACAAGTAATGGAATCTGCACCATCTGCAACATAAAACGTGAAGCTTGAACTGCACGCTTACGCATCTGAGACACCATAAAAGGAGAACCCCCAGAATTGCCAAAAATTCCTGGCCACATTGAGCGCATAACTGGAATGAAAGCCTTCAATACACACCTCTGTAGTTATTAAGAAATAAACCAATCAAAGCCGGAGTAAGATATGGCATTCAAATAAGAAAAGAAAAAATAAGAATAATGAATAACTTAAAACAGAGAAAATATGAAATCATTAATGCTTGCCTTGTGTTTTGTTGAGAGACACGGGTAGTGCTCTAAGAAAACAGATAAACATTGCTTCAACCTGGCAGTGGAGAAATATTCTATCTAAATTAGCTCATTATACAGGGCAAGAGTCGTACAAAAGGAGAAAATTAGATACTACCTGTGCATATTTTCTGATACATCACTGAAGTACAAGTAAACGAGTTTAGATAAAAGCACAGGGTGCAAAGAAGCCGGTATGCTTGGATAGTTGTCACTTAGGAGAAGAATTTTCGCAAAACCTTCTCCAAGTATAGCATAAATGCATTCATCTTCGTTGCTAGTTAAAGGATTAGCCCAGTCTTCATTTTCAAAGCCACCGTATAAAAGATCAAGTATGTCAACGTTTGAATTTGAATCCCCTTCGAAATCAGAGAAGTTCACAGGACAAAAACACTTTTTGTCACAGCTTAATTGGCTTGGAACTTCGTGATTTAAAACCCTGTCAACTTCTTGAGGACCATGCCACATCACAAGATCAATTAATGCTTTAGCAGCCTCTATACTAATTATATGTGGCCCCTTAATGTATGAAACCCTAAGCTGTTTCAAAAGTTCAGCATTTGGTTTCCTCTCCAAAAGCCCAAAGAGGCCAAGACATCTTACAGCAATCCTTTGCACGTCCGCAAGAGCTTGTTTTGCCTGTGCATTTCAATGTCCATACCAGTAAATAGTTAGTAAGCAATGCCCTCAAACCAAATTTACAAGTATAAACTGATTCAGCCCTAAAGCAAATTATCAAATCGCAAGACCTTGTTCATCTGAAAGTTAATTTCTGACAATAATGTATATTACCGTGTATATGTTTGTGTATCTCATACATTATTTCATAACTTCTTTTATTTGGTAAACTTCATATCAACAGTAAGTATTATTATTATTATTGTTCATTCAGGCATGAGGAGCTGAAGTAAACGAACTTTTAAGATTGGAAGATGTCGATTTATTTTGTAGTATGTGTATCAACATTCACCATACTTTTCTAAATTTTTATGTTTACTTCTAGCAAAAGATCAGTCAAAAAAATCCAGAAAAAAGTTTTGATGATGAGAGAATCATTTCCAATTGTTGTAAACTAGAACACACTGCATGCATAACATTTTTGTCAGTTTAAATAACTATAGTAATGTATTTTTTGCAGATTTATGAATCAATAAATGTAGGTTTAAAAAACAATAAAGAAATTTGCAACGATTTGTACCCCGGGAAGAAGTAAAGATTGGAGTAGTTCATCTGGTTCTATAGCCTTGCCCTGAAGAAAGCGCATGGACACAGTATTTTTCAGTAAAAGGCCAATAAGGGAAAGGGTGTGTATCCACTGCACATAATCTGCTGTTCTCTCTCTGCAAGGTTGAGCTAGCTTTTCTATGATTGCAAGAACAACTTCTTCAAATTCACCAGGAGCAGCATGGACTTTCCTTGCCAATTTGGCTATGGCTTCTGCCCAATGAGTATCTCCACCAAAACTTAAGCCATCTCCAATGAAAACAATATTCCCTTCATTATCAACCTCATGCTCAGGAGGCTTGCTCATCAGCTCCTGCAGAAACGCACTAGCAGCTTTTCTATATGAAGTGTCAGAAAAGTCAAACATAGCACCAAGCAAAAGCAGCTGCCGGCATGTAAAGCGATGGTTCGATCCTGCAGATATTAGATTGAACAACTTAAGTATGCATTAGAGTTGGGCGTAGAAGCAACATCCAAATAAACTTATACGTAGTATGTACCAGCATCAATATTAGCTCTGACTAACTCTATGTAATCATCAACTGTAGCAGGAAGAATCTTTTCTAGAAGATCATTTTTATCTGATGCTTCTGCAGCGTATACTTCTGCTTCGGTACCCGCTGTGGCTGCAGCATCAGAGCCTAAGGCCTATAGGGGCACAAATCATAAACCAGAGTAAGATGGAGAAGAAATGTAAGTCCTAATAATTACACTTCTAATAATAACTATATTCCAAAAGTAAATAAACAGGGAGAAAACAAGAAAGACAGTTATGAAGCACATAGATGTATTCTGATTTTATTTCAAAATATATTAATTAACAAATTATAGCAACCAGTAACCTATGCATTAATATGGTAGCAAAAACATAAACAAAAAGAGCATGATTAACAAAGAGTATTGGCTATTAGTCCCTTCCTCTTTTTGTATATAAAACATTTACTCAAATTATGTGCATAAATACATACTAACTGATAAATATATTATTTTAGTAAAATCTGCTAAGAATAGCGATATAGTGCATGTATTCCTTCTATTTGACAACACTGATTTTAAAATAAAAAAAAGTGAGCAGTAAATACGAAAAAAATGGCTATATATTTCTTTTGACTCACATGTGCTTCTGACTGCAAATGCTTGCAAACAATTCTCCAATAAAGGGCAGCCTCTGCTTCCATCAATACAATGCTTGGAGGACAACGAACCGCTTCCCCTACAATTAGCATGCAAGCAATAAAATATGGTAAACAACAACCAGGGAGGTTAAATCCTAATCTCAACCTACTAGCTAAAAAATAACGGGTGAGTTGTCACCCTGGCATTCAGAAAACTATATTCAACAAGGCAAGAATCATTCCGCCGAACTTGACCATTTCCAAAAATCTTCTCACAAAATTTGAGCCCGTGCTCATAAGATTGTTTGATCAGCTTGTGCCCGCCAAACATCACAATTGACATACTTACCCCCATGAATAACATTTTGTAAAATGTGTATTCAGTCAAATCAATTGTTTAAACTTAAATTTTATCTTGGTGATTGTTTATTTGTACACATTTTAGGTCATTTGGACATCGAACCGTATATAGAATGCATATTTGCCATCAAAATAAAGTAAATCAATAAAGTTTTGAAAACCTTTTGAATATTATAAAATCTGTAGACTTAATCTACTCAATGAGAAATTTCATTTCAACTTTAACTTAGCATTTTACAAAAAAGTTATTAAAGGTGCAATGTGTGTGAGTATGTGCGTGTATGTATCCTCAGAATCATTATTCATAACAAACATGATTATCAAACAAGACTTTAAATTTGTTTTTGAAATATTTAATTAAGCAACATGTACCAACACAGAAAGTGAAACAAATAAAAGTATTTAATATTTAATTACTAACTGTGTCTTACCTTCTGCTGTGTCGCCATTTGATGATATATATTGCTGGATACTTGCACCATTCTTTAGTTTTACTAAACCAGCTTTTAGAAGTGCTTCCATGACAGACTCGCTCACTGATTCATAAGTTTCAACATCAAGATACTTCAAAAGTTGTAAAGGATTGCCATTACAGCATTTTATAAGCCATTCGTCTTTCAATAGTTTGAAACATTCCTTCGAGACACTAACAGATCGATCAGCTAGTCCTCTCCGAAGAATTATTGTCCTGTGCTTAATGCTGAAAAAACCAGGAAAATATAAGAGCAAAAGTTGTAAAAAAGACACTTAAGTAATATTGGAAAAGATGTTTGAGAAGATTGCTAGAAGGAAATCCACCCATGGCGACTGTGCTTATAGGATTCTATGACTACATAATTTCAAAATAATTAAAAAGGACCTGCAAAGATATTATATGAATTACAAGTTTGATACTTCAATTTATTACCAACTTGCCGAAAGATTAAATGACTTAGAAGAGGTATTGACAGTGGACAAGGAAAGTATTATTCATGTTCAAATCAAAGGAAATATTGACATCCTCTGCATTGTAGTGTGCACTCTAGGGACTAAAATACTAACAGCAAACAGTAGTGAGAAAATTAATGGAGTGATTATCACATAGCGATCATTTACTAACCATTACCCATGCACTCATATTTAAAAATTCTAGACCATTGATTTTAATCTTTTTCAACAGTAGACAAGTGGCACTTTATTTACACTCTGAGGTGAACCCTTGCAAATTCGAAGATCTAATTTTTAGGGGGGTAAAAAGTCACGCAATTTGAGAAGAAAGGAATAGAATTATTGTTCTTTACCATACCACATTTACCTTAAAGTTTGAAGAGGAAATTTATTAGCTAGAACACAGTATGCTGCTTTGCGAACAGATTCACTCACATCCAAGGTACAATCAATAATAACTTGAGAGGTTGCACTGGAAGCAGGCAAAGACAATACAATCATCTTTCGAACATCCTGCACACATTTTCAGGTTTAATAGCATGAATAATAGATCCCTGCATACGCATGTAGCATTGAGATGTAGCTGTACTAGCAATCCTAAAATGAACCATGCAGATATTCCAACTTCAATAATATGACAATACATAAGATTTAAAACTTCAGTAACCAGGTTATTTAATAAGGGGGGGAAACAGTGAGATTATAAGCTAGGTAGTCAATGGTGAATAGAGAAGTAGTATAAGAAATTTATTTATACCATTCTACACACAACATTAAATACATATTCCTTACTAATAGTTAGAGTTCAGTGCTATCAATATTCATACCAACTAGAATTAAGTAAATAAGCTTTAGCCACCAAGACTTTGAATAACTCATCTAAGCATTTAAGACAAATACAAGTGATTCCTTTAATGGGACAACTATGTCCAATATGATGATGGCTGTTAGTAAGCCACAGAAAGGGCCACTGGAAGGTTGCATAAAGAACCTCTGGGAAGGCGCACATGGTGAGGAGATGAAGTTGTTTCAGAGTAGGAAAATTACAAGACAGACAAGCTTATTTCGTCGTCTTATAGAATTTTATAGTGAAATGACCAAAAGTTCAGACAGAGGCGGAGGCGATAACCATAAAAGTTCAGTATTACAATATATACAGAAAACAGCACAGTTGACAGGCATGGGAGGAAATTAAAAATGAAACAAAATTGATTGACCCAATTGGGACACTCACCGCATTTTGCTCCAAAGGAAGCGTCTCAAGGAATAAATCAAGAATGTCAACGTTCGAAGAGTCATTCACGAAACGCGAAAGTGCCCTAACCGCAAAAGTACGCACCAAATGGATCTTGTCTCGAACCCTAACCTTCATGCCCTCTATTACCTCATCCCATAGGTCATTGCTCACTTCTGCATCATCTGGCAACCGCAATATTATCTACAAAATCATAACCAAAAAAATAAAATTATAAAACCGGTTAGTCTATCATAATTAAGTTCTTTCAAACTCAACAATTAATAGTTGAGTTTAAATTAAATGTTGATATGTAAAACCTAAAACACTAAAATAACACAAAAATGGATTAACTTGAATTTAGCTCAATTCGTTACCTCGGAGAAAATCTGACAGGCTCTGAATCTAACAGTCTTATCAGCCGCCGTCGCAGCAACAAGGAGGAAATGAAGGAAATGGTCGAGGAACTCGTCGCAAACCGCGGCATCGGAAGGATTACGAGCAGTAGTGAAAGAGGCGACGAAGGAAACAACACGGTCAGCGGAAGCGATTCGTCTTTGAAACTTGAAGAGGGAAATTAGGGATTTGGAAAACGCGGAGAAGAAGTGAGACGGTGAAGTGGATTTGGACCGGAGGAGAGATAGTTCCTTGAGTTTACGGTTGTGTGTGGCGTATGAGGTTCGAACTTCGTCGAGAATTGCGGCAATTTTTTGCGATAATCGCTTCTCTTGATCGGAGTTGGTGTCCTCCATGAACGGTGGTTAGGAAAACGACAAAATTAAATTGGAGCTTGAAAAGAAGTGAGTTTGAATCTCAAACGTGATTATTTTGAGTTTTGAATTTGAGCGGGGTGGTAGTTCGGCTTACTTTGGACTTAAATATATGGGCTGTACCAACCGAAAGACCCGTCCTTTATTGCTTTGTGTTCTGTTAAATTAGAGGATTTAACTTCCACCCCCAAGTTATACTTGACATCTCTTTTTCAAGTACTTTTACGTTAATATCCTTATGTAAATATCCGAAATTTAAAAAAATACACGCGGTTATCAGAAATTTTAAAAAAATTAGTATAATTTTTCACCTTAACAGGTGGAAGTTTATCAGAAATTTGAAATTTTCAGTTTCAGAAATTTGAAAATTCCAGCCAAAATATATAATTTATCGGAAATTTTGAAATTTTCAATAATTTTCAAAAAAATTCCAGAAATTTGAAATCTCGGGTATAACATCAGTAAGCGTTTTTTTCCACTTTTTTCTATTACTTTTCTCGAATAACTGTATCAATAAAAAAGTTACCCGACTAAATATATACATATAATAATTATCATACATATAAGAATACAAAACAAACTAGGATAACTTCCTAACTTCATTTACCCAATGACTAAAGTAAATCGCATATGCGGATTCTCATGCTTTTTCATCATCAGTGCAATTTTGTCTCCAATAGTCAGTGACAGAAGGCAATGGAAAATCAAGTTTCAACTTTATCTGAACCTAATGATTTTTGTTGACAAAACCAACATCAATAATTTTATGTCTGCTCGTATGCATAGGTAGCTAAGCCAAGAGGGAAAATGTGATGATAAGTCTCATGGAGAGAGAGAGAGAGAGAGAGGGAGAGACAAATACGACATTGTATTTAGAAGCAATAAGGAAATTCATATCATGAATTGTCATCCATTTATCCATATCTTGCACACTCATAACACATTCCTAACTGTATAAATTGTGTCATAGAACAACTTGGAAAATAATCGAGAGTGTTTATAAACTTGAGCATCTAAATGTGTTCGTATCAAAGGCCATGGCTCTTTGCTCCATCCAAGTAAAGCTGCAATAGAAAGGAAACCATAATTTCTATCATCACCAACATTAATAATGTCATTGATGTATGGATGTAAGAAAGCAGGAAACTGTGACAAGTATATATGTTATAAAGATTTAGTGAACGATTTACTACCAATCAACATACTTGACGGTTGACTTGTTGTAGTTTTATGCATGATCTCTTCGTAGTCTGACTCCCTTGCAATCCCTCAGCATACTCCCACTGGCTAGGATCACGATGTGCATCACTCTCTTAACTCTTTCTACTCTTCTTAACTTCCCTCTTTGGCTTATATTTCACCGGCAATGGATACATAGAAGTTATGGATGGATGTGTTAGTTTCCGAACTTTTTTCTTCAACATCTTCTGAGCTATAATATCTGAAGTACTAAAGTATGTCTTCAAATCTCCACACTCTGCTTCTAAATCCCATTTTGTACCACTCTTATCCTGACTGACCTCATGCTCTGCAATGTGCAATTTCGTTCAAAATACATGAATTTGTCTAAAGGAACATGATTGTCTAGTATTTGGAAACCGACAAGCTGACACACACGCACATGGTAACCCATGTGTTTCTCTAATTAAGCAACCATATCTTTCTTTGTTTGAACCAACTAATTTTACCCTTTCTAGTTACTTTCCAATGAGTTATATACATCATCTTGAGACAAAATCGTGCAAGTTGGCATAAAATGGAGTGTTATACTGATGCTCAATATCGACAATATATTTTTTAAACGACCCCCCGATTGAACCTAGTTGCAATTTTAACATGGTGTTCACGGCATCCCAACTTCAACATAAATCTCATCGACTTGTTGTCAGCATGTTTTTTAGTCTCCAATGAGAAGACGCCACCCTAAAAACCATAAATAAAAATATATGTTAAATTATGATTAGTTATGTAATAACATCAAACTGTCATGTTATGTGTACTTGTTTGTTATTGTGTTCCCTAAATGAGTTACTTTGTTATTCCAAGCAGCAATAAACCTTTCTTTATAAGGTGTCAACCATGTTTCACTCACATATTTAACAAATAAAGGAATATTAGCACAAAAAGCCTAAAAGTGCTTGAAGTGTTCAACAAATTCAATTTTTGTATTTGAATACATGATGTTGTTCCATAGATCTATTACATGTTATTATTTTTCTGATTTAACATACTATTTACATTCATACTAATGTTTTTTATAAATATGAAACAAACAGAATATATGAGTTGTATTTGGGAGCACAGATTCCATGGCATTCATCAATGCAAATTCTCAATCTATCACCACAACCTTCGGTAGCAATTTCTCTGAAGAGAAAAACTCTTTGAGCTTCTTCATCGCCCATTTGAAATTCTCCTCCCTTTCATGTCCAAATAGGCAAAGCCAACCAAAAACATCAACTTCATTGATGTAACACCAACAATCTCAAGCAGTGGTATCTGGTACTTGTATGATCAAGATGCACATAATCAAATTGATAAATCAACATCTATAACAGATATCAGGATGTGCAATCAAATATTCTTACCTATTTGTCTTGTATGTGCAATCAAAAATCAACATCAAATAAAACATATTCAACAACTTCATTGAATCAGGATGTGTCTAAAAGATGTCAACTACAACATCTGAGTCGTCCCTATTTCTAGTCCAACACGTGCATTTCTCTATATGAATAAGATTCAACAACATCTACATTTTTGTCAATGCACCTTTCTTGCTTGTTCTATATGTAGCTCTATCTTCATACACTTGGGTAACACTCATGAGGTTTTATGGATCTTTAACTTTCAAAGTTGTAACTATGTACCTTGGAGTCATATTGTACTTCGCCATGTCACTCACAAACTTTCTTTCATGATCTTTTATACGGTCTAATATGCCATGACCTTCCAAATCGTCAGATAGTTTATGATTATGCACCATGCACCTAACAATCACCTTTCAACCGATACCACTTGGAATATATCTCAGTCTAAAAGGACATTTAACTTTCATACTATAAATGCCTTCTAAAAATTATTGCTTTCAGATGCATTATTTCTTTTGTAATTTCCTCTTATCTCACAACCCATTGTTGCACCCCAAAATACATCCTCTTTAGTTTAACCCTAATTGGCTTATTTTTCTAACATACTCATGCATGCATGTCACCGATTCCATGGTTACGGGATCAAAGCATTTATTTGCGTCAAGCTACAGAAACAAATGTTCCGTCAGGCAGTATAACAAAGGAAAAACTCAGGGTTTTTTAGATACAAGTGCACTCCACATATTTCTCTGAGCTACTCAATCAATGAGTGATCAAATCCTCATCATGTCAAGCTTTCATGTGTTTCATCATACCTCGAATTGCAAATAAAACCGAGCGTTTCGGTTAGTTTGAGACAGTTTCGACTGAAAATCAGCATTTCGCAGTTTGTGTTCAAAAATTCATAACTTCTGATCGAAAAATTATTTTTATTGGGTCTTTGGGCGTTGATTCTTTTTTACATCCTCTCCATTTCATATGTCTGGATCGGAAGCCAATTTTATGAAGAAGATCTCTGAAATTGCAAAATACATTGAAAATCGCATGTTGAAGCGGATTTCTGGTCCACTATTTCTCAAAATTGCAAAATTCATAAATTTCTCAATTTTTATCATTTCAGATGATTCTTGCAACGTGATGTCACAAATTTTGTTAGCTACAAGTTTACTTAAGGGTTCGATTCCAGATTATGATCAGAAGACTTTTGTTTATGGCTCGCCTCTCAAATCGACTAGTGAAAAAGTCGTGCAACCAAAACGGAGGGTTTTCTGTCTCAATTTTCTCGTTATTGTAAAAATTGTAACTCTCACGATTTTTATCAGATCGAAACAATTCTTTCGACACAACGTCACAAATTTTTTCATCTACATTTTTACTTCAGGACTCGAGTTCAGATTATGCACCAAAAATTATGAGCTTGTGGTTTTCTCTCGAACAATGCACAAAAATAAGCTGAAAATTATGCACTATCAAAAAATAAGGGAAAACTCGGTTTTTATTCCATGTGCCAAACAAGGCATAAGAGATTATCTATATATTGTTTCAATTCAAAATCAAAAATAACTTTTTGCCATTTTGCATAAAAATCACTCAAGAGCAAGTTCATTCTCTCAAGTCAAGAGCTCATTTCTCCCTCTCTCTCATTTTCGGCCGACCTCCACCCTTGATCGACCGACCGGACCGCCCTCCCTTCTCCGCACAAAGACCACTCGTTCTTCTTCCTCCGTCACAAAACTGGCCTCCCGCGACAGCTCCCTCCATGTCGATACTCCTTCCTCTGGTCACTGTCCAATCGGATCATATTTTCTGATCTACTCCTCTTCGTGTTGATCCGATAATTCTTGAACTTAATTATTTTAAGTGCTTAATTTATTAATTGATTTTGAATTACGTGCTTATTTGAACATTGCATGAGTTGAATTTATTGTGAATTGAAGAATTAATTTATTCTTAAGATTTATAATTATGGACAATTGCGGAATCAAATGAACTTTTGTCTAATTGTTTGAATCTTATAAATATCGACACGATGATTTGTTGTTGATTATTGATTTTACGCGTTGAAGCTTGATTCCAATTCAATAATTTTTTATAATCCTTACGTTCATGAGTTGATTATTATTTTCGAGTTGATTATTTGATATCGACGCGTTGATAATTTTTATTTCGAAGCTTGGAAATCGGTGTACCGATATTGATGTAACGTTTGCAATTTAATTGTGAGTTTTGAGCAACGTTACAAGTATCGATGTGTGATTATTTTTGTGCGTTAAATGCCATTTTCTGGTCGATTTTTAGTGCACATCGATACATGTAAAGTTGCTGCCCAGAATTCACAAATACGTGTAAATGTCACATTTAATTATCGGTTCATGCATGTTTAGCTTTCAC